AAGGACCATGAGAACTGACTCCAGTTCCACAACCACTCCTGCTCAACAAAGGTGGAATCTTTGAGACATTTTTATTCATCAACCATGATGTATGAGGGCTATTTTAGTAGCAAAATGTGAAATCTGGAAAGAAAATTATTTGACAAAACCATTTTAGATTTGTTAACTCCATGGCCCGATACTGTTTCCTAACATTAGTCATTTCAGGTCAAGTTTCAACCTCATCAAGCTGATAAATAGAAAGACATATACAGAGTCTAAGAAAGCCTCTACCCAATGACCCTGAAAAAACATCAAAAGGTTCCTGTCCTCTTCCTGAAACCAATCTCAGCTGAAAGTTTCATTAACCGTTACACCAGCAATGCCACTGTTGGCGATTACCATACACGGCCATGTATGATGGCATCGATCAAAACCTGACCCAGCAAGAAATGAAAGGAAGTCTTTAAAAGACTGATGATACTTCTACAGGGTTTCAGTCAACAGTGGCAGTTATGGCAGTTTGGAGGGTGAGTAATGTGCGAACCAAACCAAACTCAAGGTCGGGATGGTATGCAAACACTGACAAATGAACAGAGGTCAAGGTCACACATACATCAGTCACAAAAGAAAAGAGAACTTGAAGGTCAGGGCACTGTAAATCATATTGTCCTGAAGACGTTTTTCCAAAATCTATTGAGACAGAAGACAGAGTGCAAAATGAGGAAAATAGTTAGTGAAAATTGAAAAACATTCATGATCGATACATTTTGGCCTTAAGACCATGCTTCAAGAAACATACAAGCTGATGACAATGCTTACTTGTTATTTTTATGCATAACACTCTTGCTATTTTTTTATGACATGGCGAAAGTTAGAGCATGTTACATCTTAGATACTGCTGCACCAAATGCTTCCCTCTTTCACGTGATGTTGGTTACTATGAGCAGGACTATTTCATGCATACTCCCTGCAACCAGGAGTTGATACAGAAGGAACCCAGGTCATGGTCATGAGCATGTCATGCTCACTAAACATTTCTGACCTACCATGGTTGACTTACAGTGTACAGATAGCAGAAAATGTGAGTTAAAATGTGGTCCTTTTGTTAAGAATTTTAGGGAAAGACTAGTCATGACAAACAACAGATGTATTTTAAAACCAAAAACAAACATAATTAAAACACAATTATCACTTATTCATGACATGTAATATACTATTGCTGATTATGAAAACATATAAAACAAAATTATAAGCCGCAATAACGCGAAATCAAAAGTGCAATATTTGGTACTTGGGTTTACTTCCCTCGAAAGCGAAGCACCGGAGACCGAACCCAGTCAGAGCTTTGGTGGGTGTGCACTCAAGTGTAACGAAGCCTTTCATTGGCTGGTTCATTTGCCGATGCCCCCTCCACAGCTCATTGTGTGTGTGTATATATAGATGTTGGGTCTTGTAAATAATTTTTTCTGCATTTGCGTTTTATCCAATCAACAAATACTGAGATGGTGAACTACTGCGTGGCTGGAAACTGTCGTTCGTTCAAGTACAAAGCAGGACTTGAAACTGACAATCTGAGTTTGCACCGGTTTCCGTCCGATCCAGTGATACGAGAAAAATGGATGCTGTTTGTTTGCAACCCACAGATATAATAACATGTCATGTGTACAAGTATCACACCTGCATGTCTGTGTAATTACATAATGTGACAGAGACAGAACTCAGAGTCATAAATCAATGTGTTTTGTTTATGGTGTATAGCGGGGATACATTTCAAGTTCAAATTGCATGTGGTCAATGATTGAAGTTGTGTATTGCATATTGTCATTAGCAGACTAGTGCAGGCAGGATTACATAGGTGTCAATAAAACAGACATTGAGTTTTGTCTGTGAGCAGAGACTGCTTATCACAATCAACATATATTTTTCTGTTTCCAGAGACATGTATTAAAACATTTCAGTTTTCAAGCTGAGCAATTTTAAACAAAGAAAATAGTATTTCTAATGCTACACTTTCTTGAAAACTTGGTTTGCAAATCTGCCAACCCCCAAAAAGCAAGATGTGAAAACATATATAAGAAAAAGTATGGGACCAGTGTATTTTTATTACTGCAGACCAAAGATGCTTGTAATCACAAGAAACATCTTTTGTTCTCCAACTTCTCTTTTGTTCTCCAACAGCGATAATCCTTGCACGCATCACTTGCTGTTTTTACGAGTCGCCTTCCCGGTTCAAGCCACGTGAACCTAATCACTGGCGCGCAGCGCAGCACAGCTGTTGAAACCACTTTTCACCCTAGCGTTGGGGTGAAATTAGTGAATCGTTCGAACTTCGTATGTGTGTGTGTGTGTGTGTGTGTGTTCCATCATATGCGTCGCGTCGCGTCGCGTGTGTGTGTGTGTTCCATCGCGATATTTTTCAACTTTAGAAGTTGAATTTGCAATTTTGATAATTTGTTACTGTAAGTCCATACCGAAATGTATCAGAATCTGCAAAGTTGCGTTGCATGTGACCTTTAACAATCCATACCTAATGACAAAAGATTAACTGTATTAAGGTTTTGCCCATGACTGCCCTACCACCCACACATCTCTGAATCCAGTAGTGAAGTTATGGAACACAAACACCTGTCATAAACAGGTAAATTCTCAAATTCAGACATGAGTAATGAGACCTATTGAGCATATTAACACTCAGTCAGTCCCCATATCAGCAAGAATAGGTGTAATTGGTGGCCACATGGATCTTTGTTGACTGTATTATGTAGGACTCAACACTGCAGCTTATGAAGTGGACACTAATTTGGTCACACACTCTACCTGAAGTTTGGCTGATTATCAAACCAGTAACCACAAAGCTCCTCTGACGTTTGGTGAAGAGAAAAATGGTTTATTTATCCCCTGAAATTCTATACAGATTATTTAATTTATTAACAATTACAACACAAATGACATTTTAGGGACATGTCCATTGTTGCTCTAACAGACCAGTCTAAAACACTATTGATGTTGTATGTGTCCATGGAGAGTGATGGTGTTAAGTTGTGCTGATCCATGACGTGCAGTTCACAAATTGTGGCCAAGGTCATCATGACCTGACTTTCCCCATTTCCCTCCATAAACACGTATTCATTATCACATGTTCATGAACCTGCCACTTCATTTACATTGATTAACACAGTGTTAGCCTATCAGCAAGATACATACACCACAAACACTGACAGAAAGTGAAAGCATTACAAGGATACTCATCTGAAAGCACTCAGTATTTCCGATGTGAAAGTAAACACGACTTCCAATCAAACCCCTATCCCGAACAAGTGTAGTAAAAAGACGGCCAGATAGCAAGGATTTTATCTAAACTTGTTCAGATTTCTGTCCACGCTTTCAGCAGACGTCTAAAAAGACCAAACAGTAGATGGAAAAAATTCTCCAATTTAGAATTCAGACTTGCCCTATTCATGGTCATTACATCAGTATCGTTCAAACTAACAGTATAGCTTTGTGGACCTGTTTTGCATATAACAGGACCAATATATAATGAATGCAGAATTATCAAATTATACATACACAATGCTGTAAGTCTAAATTTTAAATAATAAAGCATTTTTCTTCAAAATTTCAACAAATAAACCAAAATATATTTTAGTTCGAGACCTATATAAACCCAAGATAGATATTCAACATGCAAAGTTTTGATCCCAGATTGAGGGAAAAGCAATCAAACATCCTGATTAGGTTTCTACTCGCAATTACAAGTACGGGTTCTATTAACCATATTCTTGTTTTTACTGTCGATTCAATACAATTGCTTTTATACATTTTTTCACACCCTTTCGAACATAATTCTATTTTGACAAGTCCACACAAATTATCTGCTACAGCTATTGTCCACCAGATATTGGTGAAAGTGGCAGTTCACAAGGAGATAGCAATACACAGTATTTTCATGGTCATTGCTTCCATGATATCCAAACAAATATGGCATCGCGACTTGTTTAACTAGTCAAAATTAACAGATTGTAAGACTAACATTACATCATGAACAGGTTATCACAAGAGTGTGTTTGGTAATGGTAAGTCTGAGGAACACAAGCTTATGTCTTCCTACTACAGGGTATTTACTGTTATAAACATCCCATGGCAACCTCTCTTTTATCCAGAAATCCAATGTCAAGGAGAATCAATTTGATTTGCTTTCCCTGAAGTGGGATTAAATGCTACTTTACACCTAAGTCTAGGTGTACAAACAGTTTCCTCTGAGACAACTTAGCTTAAATCTAGCAAATGTTTTCAAGTAATAGTCATACATAATCACAATTGACAAGATTTATCTACCATGACAATCTTTTTTGGTAGATGACTGACTGACTGACTGACTGAGTTTGGTTTTACCGCTTTTTAGCAATATTCCAGCAAATATCAATGCGGGGGACACCAGAAATGGGGCTTCAACACATTGTTCCCATGTGGGATTCAACCTGGTCTTCGCGTGATCGAGCCAACGCTTTTAACCACTAGGCTACCCCAATCGCTTCCCCTTTTGGGTAGATGACTTACAGGAATGTGACACTGATTTAAATAGCACTTAAACAGTTATTTGAATAGTGTGATTAATGCAGGAAGATATCCACACAAAAGGTGCAGCTGGTAGTGTTCAGTGAAAATCTAAGATCATGGGTAAAGTCCTGCCAGATGATAGTCAGGATGATTGCAGCAGATTCTGCTACAGCTACAGGACACAACTCTTCACTGCATTTCAGGAGCTCATTAAACCACTGGGCAACAGATGACCCTGACCCTTCCCAACCTAGCTGCATCACTCAAGTCAGTCCTGGACCAACCCAACGCCCAAACCCACCACTACCACATATCTCCAAAATTGATATTCCATTGGGAAATAACTCCACACAAAACAAGTTGCTTTAGCCTCTACAGTATATATCATTGTCCTAAAAACTCAAGTTTCATATATAAAGTAATGAGCATTCAGCCAAGAGGATCAATATGTATGTACTGACCTTCAAGTCATACTTTTTGTGTATTCCTAGTCTGGGGCTGAAGATGTTCCTCATGACCACCATGTAGGTCTCGACGCTGCTCTTCAATCAAGCCAGGCTACGGTACATACCCAGGTACCAAGCGTAACAGGGTCTCAAGCATGCTTTCCACAATATACTCGGAAACAAAGACCAAAGTTGTGACATGGGTTTCTATACAATAAAGACCAAGCTTGTGACATGGGCTTCTATACAATAAAAGACCAAGCTGTGACATGGGTTATAAAGGACCAAGTTATGACGGGGTTCTATATAACAACAGACATATGCATGTGCAGGTAGTAGAGAGTGTGAAGGCACAAGTGTAGGTGCATATTGTGTGACTGTCAGTGCGGATTGTGTTGTGGCAGGTGCTTGTACTAAAACTGTCGAATGAAAGGGTAATAACTGTTTTTTCACATTTATATCTACAATTTAGGTAAGTTAGCTTATGTGAAATCATACGTAGCTTGCA